GAGTGTTAGAGTGATGCGTGTGGGATATCCAGGGTGATCCAGTGTATGTGAACAGTGAGATGTTTGGGCGCTGAAGTCGCCATAGCCAATTGAGAGTGAACTCGTATCTGAAAGCCATATCTCTGAGTTTTGAGTGGGCACATGTCGCCAGTATGCTGCGTTGCTGTTTACATGCATGAAAAGTGTGTTTGAAAACAAGTCCGATTGCATCAGTACCTACTAAAACAACGGCAACAATGTACAATCGCCACCACCCACTGCTTGCCCCCATATAGAGTCATCAAAAATGCAAAAAACCCTAGACACGCAAAAATTAACCTGTGAAACACCGAAACAACCAGGATATCCAGGGCCTAATGTGAACTCTCGCATGGTGACCGCTGTGTGCAAAAGTGCATTTATAACTTTATAAGTTTATACTACTTATAGACAAAACAACTCAACCGTCAACGAGGCTGCATTTATTAATTTTATACTATTTATCATACTTGCCGAGCATCTACCCTGTGCGCTGCGCGCGGAGTGCGGACCCGAGGTGCGCGCGCACCTGGGTGCGCGGTGCACGATGCGTGATGCGCTGCGCACAGGGCTGGTGCGCCGAGCGCGGGTGCGCTGGGGGGTGCGCGCTGCGGGGCCGCATATGCGCCAGGTGCGCACAGCATATATTTTTTTATTTTTTATTTTTATGTTGAACTGAAAGTTGAAACACCCCCACCCCCCCACCACACACACACACACTCCCTCTCTCTCTCTCACTGCAAGATCTGCTTCGCCAGCGCCACCGAAAGCTTCACCTGCGCACACACAATCCACAAACAGACCAGGCGTCAGCCCCTCTTCAACACTTTTCAAAGGAAACAGCGTCCGCCCCTCAAACCCTCCTTCCCGCCACCCACCATACCCTCAACACACCCCCGCCCCCCCCAACCCCAACCCCCAGTGTAAACACTGCCTTTGATCAAAGCACCCAATCAAAGCACTGCCAGCAACCGCAGGCCCTCAAACCCACGATACAGAGAAGATTAACAAGGCCCCTTCACGACGATGACACGCTTCAATCGAGATATGGACCATAAAAAAAAATAAAAAAATGAGAGAGAGAGAGAGAGAGAGAGAGAGAGAGAGAGAGAGAGAGGTGGAGATGGTGGGAAGATGATGGCGAGAGATTGGAGAATGGCCGAAGGTGGGATGGTCGGAAGCGGAGGAGAGAGAAAGGTGGATGGACAGAGGTGAGATGATGGTGTGAGGAGGACGATGTGTGTGTGTGTGTGTGTGTGTGTGTGTGTGTGTGTGTGAGAGAGAGAGAGAGAGAGAGAGAGAGAGAGAGAGAGAGAGGGGCTAGTGGTTACCCACCTGGCAACTTTACAAGCTGAAGCCGCGCTCCTCCCGCTGCTTCTTCGGTTCCTTCAGGTAGACTGTAGTGCCCTGGCTATGGCTGGACGACAACGCCTTCGACTGCTGCTGCTGCACAGGAGACGTGGAGGCAACGAGCAACGCACGGCGGGCGCGAAGGGCACAAAGCTGGACTACCGGGCTTCATTTCCGAAGCGAGGGGCAGCACTCCGGATTCGAAACTTCAAAAAACAAACCAACTTCAGCTCCCCCCCCTTTTTTTTTTGAGGCCCCGCGCAACCTCAAATTGTTGTTGTTGTTTTTTTTTGGTTCGTCACGCGACATCCCACCCCGGCCCAGAACACCCCTCGGCAACTTTTTTTTTTTTGGTCGACCCCTTATTTTCAGGGTGCGCTGCACCCCTTGCACGCGCGTCGTGCACGGTGCGCGGTGCGGCGCACGTGCGGGGTGCAGCGCACCTCGATGCGCCGCAAGTATGCTATTTATACTAAATTTATAGACAAATCAAATCAATGAGCGACCAAACATCATTACAAATGCGGCACTCAACTCTACAGAAGTGCAACCTACTCTTCTGTCACACACGGGACATCCATTCCTTTTTTTCCCGATCTTTACCAGATGATGAATTGGCATGTTCATGACAGTCCCGAATCGTCCATTGATTCTGCCCACAATCTCGTGCACTTGACTTGAAAATCGCTGATCTGTAAAAAGTCAACCACATAATTTTCATGGCACCCCAACAAAGGTTCATCATTATTGTTACTTAGGAATGACACTGTCAGTCAACCATTCGTCTCATTTTTTAAATTTGCGCCACTGCCCGATAAACATGTCCTTCACCGCCCTGCGCAAGGATGACACATTTCATCAACGTTCATCAACGTGGTGTTCAAACCTAAAACAGAATTTCCTCGCGAACTTTAGTTCATGCAGTATGGGGCCCGGACACCATTTCATCACCGTGTCACACCTGGAAACATTACTTCATTAAAACTTAGAAAAGTCTGAAAGACAGAGACATAATTTACTTGTAAACGAGTAGATAAAAAATAAAGTTGCAGGTTATTATTATCACAACAAAGAAACAAGCGGCACGTGGCCAAGGCCTTGTGCCATCTATCAATAGTCCATCACGGACCATCAGTCCTGTTGCGTCAGCAGCACTATCTCTCACACTTTTAAATGGTAAAGGGGGTGTGAGACACCAACAACCAACCACCCTCAGCAACCTCATGAGCAATAGCCACTGCACTTTATGATACTTGTGACAAGAAGTGACAAGAACCAAGACAAACCGGTGCCGTCTCTTACCAGTGACAAAAGTGCTTCCATTCCTAGCTCATTCGACGGCCCTTCTCTTCATGCCAGAAAGTGGCAAATCCATCTTCACCTTTCTTTTGAAAAGGGGGTATCCCCTACCATCTTCACCCGAAATGGAACAACAACGGCATTATCACCGTATGCACGAGGGGCTAGCTGCAGCGATAATGACAGGGCATTCTATTCAAATAAAGACAGAAGACTGCTTATATCCATTTCCATTTGGTCCCAGCAGGATGAAACTCATGTCGGTTTGTTAACACTTGGATGTGTGCACCGTTCCGCCACATGCACTGGCAATGGAATCGACCCAGGGGGAAGAATTAAACAAGCCATCCAAAAACCAAAAAGGAATAATCACCTCACAGAACATTCATATCCTTTTCGATGTACGAGAAGTTTGTTATCCCTTTTCACACTCACAAGTCTCACAACCCAGCGCACGTGGCTCTTGTGAGTGTGAAAAGGGATGGCACACTCGCAAGAGTTACAACCCGGCGCATGTGCTTGCAAGCATATGTGCTGTGGTCGATAAGTGTGAAACCTTTCTCGTTCTTTTATCAAGATTCTCCCTCTCCCCTTTCTCAAACTTACATTCAGGAACATCAGTCCTAGATGGCACAGCAATCTGGACCAGTATCACGCGGTCGCCCCAATCCGGATGTTCTTCCAAGAACTTCTCAAATGCTAGCAACTTCTGAGGGATCCCCTTGATCATATCCAGCCGATCCACACCAAGCATCACCTAGATACATGAAAAAGCATCAAGCATCATTGCAGCAGAGATATTAGCCACTGAACGAACACACCCCCGGAACATAAATTACAACACTTCAACACCTAACCCTTCCTACATCAGCTTGCTCCAAGAAGGCAGCATCAGAACCATGTCATTGCACATTTCATCGTTTAATCCCCTGCATCTCCTCCATAGCTCCATATTCCATGCACATTCTATCTGGAATAATATATTTTCACAAATCTATGAACTCGAAGGGGCTTTTGCAAAACAATCGATCGGAATATACAACAAAAACATGAAAAGCGAATGAAAGTCTGGAACCATTTATTTTTCTCATTCTTCTTTTAAACCACTAGTACCTTTGTCGGTTCGGAAAATAGTGGGCCTCCAACCTTTCAGGAGGCCGAAACGAAACGACAGCCGCCAATAAAACTTGCCGAAACGAAACGGCAAACTCTCCCTTCATCGTGCCTCTCACGTACAAGGCTTATAGATTAAGAAAAAGGAACTGGATACCACATTGCTTCATGCCAGTGGCTAATGCACCACAGACAGAACAGCAATACCTGTCGAAACGGCAGGATAACCCCCCACCCAATGGGACAACCAGCCACCCCCACATACACCAGTTTCCTGTAAAAACAGTGATAAGGTTGAGTAAAGAATAGGGAAGCCATGTATCTCACCTTTTTCCCTGCAAATCGGGCCCGCAGCTCAGCAATGTATGACTTCACAGCTTCATCGTCAACAGCTTCCACAAACCGATCAGGGTCAATGCCAATAGGAAACTGCAATGAAATGGAGAAAAGGTCACAGCAGTGCACACACACACACACACACACACACACACACACACACACACACACACACACATGAATGAGGATGACACAGAAGCAAGTCAGCATACTCAGCACTAGAATGCAAATGCTGCACACACACACACACACACACACACACACACACACACACACGAATGAGGAGGACACAGAAGCAAGTCAGCATACTCAGCACTAGAATGCAAATCCTGCACACACACACACGAATGATGATGACACAGAAGCAAGTCAGCATACTCGGCACTCGAATGCACATGCTGCACACACACACACACACACACACACGAATGAGGATGACACAGAAGCAAGTCAGCATACTCAGCACTAGAATGCAAATGCTGGTCGATGCATGGACTTTTATCAACACCCTAAGTAAACAGCAGTCAACATATGGAGCCAGTCTGACACTCAGGGAGAAGCCTAGGGAGTCTAGTTGCAGGGAACACGAGAGGCTGAAGAGGGCACTCGGAAAAGGAAGGATGGATATGGTGGTGTGCATCATAGGTTGGCGGTTCTTTGTAAGCTGCTCATTACCGCTGCCACCCGCGTTATTGCTCCGGTTTGGCAGTTCTCGACGCCGTCTGGTGTCCCCTCGTGACCGAGGATTCTTGAGCAGGAGCTGACAAAATGTCTTGCGTAATCGTAGGTGTGAAACCTGGCACCATGCAGAACACACCATCAGCCAGAAAGAAAACCATCACAATTTCACCAACTGATAGAAAACCATCAGCATTTTCACCAACTGATTTTTTTCATGGAGTTCAGGTTCCAAACCCATGCAATTTTCTCTTTGCGCAATTTTTTTTTTTCGAAGCAATTTGGGGGGCGGCGCTGTGGGAGCCCAGGGGCTGGCCATGGGGGGTCGCACGGCCGGGCGCCCTGAGCGCCCTTCCGGGCGACCTGGGGTGGCCCGGGCGCCCGGGCTGGAAAGCTAGTCCATCAATCAATCAACCGATCAATTAATGAATCAATCAACCAATCGATTGATCAATCGATCGATTCCCTCAATCTTGCGTCAGGTCAGGTTAGACTGTCCTAATTCACGACGCGCGGCTCCGATACCAACTGGTACATGCTCAGCTGAGCGATGTAAATGGAACCAAGGATTCGCAAAGCGATGAAGAGGACTCGAATGGACAATCCAGAGTCGGCAAAGCATCAACAAGCCACGCGCAAGCAATGTACATCCAGATGAAAATAGCACAATGTAGCGCAGCGGAAGATTCAAAGATATGACCTGACCTATCAGAGACTGACGTGACATCCCGTCATACACCACACATGCGAGAGAGGGAGGAGAGACCACATACATGGAACAAAGACCCTCATTGCACACGAACATGGGGCAGATACCACGGATATAGAGATGGGGGAGAGGCGAGACAAAGATGGAGGTGCGAGAGAAGACCAAGATCGCGATAGCGAAGTCCAAAAATAGTCTCCCTGCCGAATGTCCAATCAATGTCTGCCGTAGAAATGTCGAACCAGATCCTAGGCCTTATGCCCGAAGTAACCTCTGCCTGTAACCTCTCTCTCTCCCTCTCTCTCTGAAAGAGGAGGAAGGAGTAGAGATGGAGGGCGAGAGAAGAGGAAGATGTCGTCCTCGTCACTATCTCACCTGCAGGTAACTGCCGCCATGTACTAACTGTTGCCGCGTGTATCCTCTGTGCAGCAGGTGCGCTGGCGCGAAGACCAGCTATGGCGCCCAGGTGGGATCTCCGCCGACACAGGTATGGCCTCCGCCTCACTCCCTACCTACACCTCTACCTCTACCTCCACCGTAGCGCTGTAACGTTGCTCCAGCAGCATGTCGCCCAAGAAGTGAGCTACTCTAACTGTGTCAGGCCAGGCGTGGCCCAGCTCTAAGTAGCACCCGGCCTCGCAGGTGTGCCTCGGTGTGCCTCTGGACTTTGGCCAGAACGTGGCCTACTGGGTCTGGGTCCCGACCAGACGTCCAGACCCTCCCTGCTGATGCAGCAGGGACGTCTGCTACTGGACGAAAACGGACCTGGCCCAACAAGGCCTGCCTATGTCTGTACCAGGCCAAAAATGTGGCCTTTCTCCAAACAGACCGAAGTTCTGTTGGCAAGAACTGCAAGTCCAAAACGACACCTGAAGAGACAAAAATAGGACAGCAAATAAATAAATAAACGAAATTCAATGACGAGGGCCTCCAGGGCGCATGTCTGAGGGGTGTGCGGCTTGGGGGCCGTCGAGCACAAAATGGGGCCCGTGTCCAGGCTCAGCATGTAACACAGAGAGAGAGAGAGAGAGAGAGAGAGAGAGAGAGAGAGAGAGAGAAGGAATAAAAAGGACATCAAGGAGGAAGTTACAGCGACCATCACCTATGTTCCTTTACTTACTACTGCATCAAATCAGATTCGAAGTTTGAACGGTCAACCACTTGTCAATGATTGACGGATCTAGCCTTCCAGGTGTTTCCAGCAATTGTCCGCCAACAGGTGCGTAAGGTAACAAGGAGGAATATATGCTCGCCACGGCGGCTGAGGTACTCACAAAAGCAGCATAAATTTTTGGTCCTTTATTTCACAGGGGAATTGGGGCATTCAAACTGAATCTGGGCATAATTATGGTCAAATACATACACATGAAACAGTTTTCACCTTTGCAGAGGGCAGATGCAGATTCCAGGGTTCGATCCCCAGACCTTACCTTACCCATGTACAGTATCGAGTTGACCCCCGAGTGTTTGAACCCGTGACTGTGTTTCGTTAGTTGTTGTTTGTCTGTCGCAGGACTGTGTAGATGTAGGGATTCGATCTGTAGGTCTGTCAAGTAGGGGTCACAGCTTTGTAGAGATCGTAGCTATAGGCATTCTGAAAGGTCAAGGTCGTAGCTGCTACAGTCCTGAGAGGTCAAGGTTGTAGCTGCTACAGTACCCGAAAGGCCAAGTCCACAGACTTCCGGAAGCTCCGGAAGCAGCCTTTCGAAATTTGTCTCACGTTTAGACAGAGGCAAGTGGGCAAGCGGTGAGCCCAACTGCATTACGTCGGCAGTGCAACTGCACCGAGTTGGCAGTGCAAACCCATGCTGTCAGCGGTACCGGTCCAGTCAGTCCCAGTCCAGTCCAGCAAGTACCAAGAGGGACTGTGTGCACCATGGGCCGATGGAAAGGGGCAGACCAACGAGTTACAGAAGTATAAATCATGAGGCAGCGCTCAGCCATACATTCATTCGCTGTGTAAGCCATGCGGAAGCGCTGCTACAACGTCTTGTGCGAAGATGGTCTGCAGGTTGCCTGAAGACGAAGTCGGCTGAAGGGAGATCGTAGCCATAGTAGTAGTGGCGAGCTGCCATAGCCGCCGTAGGGTAGAGGTAGCTCATACAGTGTGTGTGTGTGGAGTATTCAGGGTGATCCAGAGTGAGCATGTGCAAGCAGTGGTGTCGGACACAGTTACGAGAGTGGGATGTACAGGCGCTGGTGCGCCATAACCTGTTGAAGTGAATTTGCAACTGAACTGTGTTCTCGTTGTCATATCTCTGAGCTTTGAGTGGGCGCTCTGCGCCCGTGTGAATCGCCGTCTTTTTGCACGTACGCGAAGTGGAAAAGAAAACGAGTCTGATTGCATTGGAATCGGAGCTGGTTCCCGTTACTCCACGCGCCATCGTCCTTGCCAGCGGGACAGAGATGCGCACGCCAGTTAGGCGCCATAGCCAAGTTGCACCATCGAAGAAGATCAGCCATAGCTGCGCGGCGGAGTGAGGTGCTGAGTACCTGAACAAAAGACGACGGGGAGAGAGAGAGAGAGAGAGAGAGAGAGAGAGAGAGAGAGAGAGAGAGAGAGAGAGAGAGAGAGAGAGAGGAGCGATACAAGATTGTTGTGAAGTCCAAAGAAGAAAGCGGCCATAGCCGCGGAGCTCGGACACAGGATACCATGAAGGAGAGCGATAGGTGAAGTGAAGGAGAAGGAAGGACGAAGGAGAGAGAAACCATAGCCGAGGAAGAAGAAAGGAGGGACAACGAAAGTGAAGGAAGCCATAGCCGGGGTCAAGCGAGGAAGAAAGAGAAAGGAGGAGGGAGGGAGGAGGAGGATAAGGAAGGTTGGTGAGGAAGAAAGGTGCAAGCAGCCATAGCCGAATCAAGGGTTGACAAAGGCGTTGACCGAAGATTTAACCAGCGTTGACCAACACTTTGACCGGAGAGTTCACCTGCAAGTTGACTGGTGCTGACCTAGGTGTTGACCGCAAGTTGACCAAGCGTTGACCAGCGTTGACCGGGGCTGTTGACCACGAAATTGACCAAGCTGGAGTTGGTATATTCTCGCCAAGCCTTCAGCCTATCCCCTCGCCCTATGGATGTGCACATGCAATGACTTGCTGATTTCTGCTGCCGAGCTCGACTGTGAGGCTGTACACTAACCCATAGGTTAGATTCGTAATTTTGTTTGGCTGAGGGCTAACCGAGAGACCTGCCTGTAACGAAATTCGTGAGGGACAGATCTACAAATCCGGGAAAATACAGGCCCGGTACTAACCGAATTCCTACAGCTACCCTAACTGCCTATCGCAGGCCTGGGCTACCCCTAGGACAGACAGGCCCTAAGCGGCCTATATTGCTAGACGGTCCTATAGCCTATAGCCGGGTCCGGTAGAGGCCGAAACAGCAACGGTACCGGTCAGTCAGTCAGTCGGGTCTAGGTCTAGAGAGTCTATAGATAGGTTAGACCAACCGATTCAGGGCTTTTGGCAATTCATTTTCGCGTGACCGCGTTCGTGGCCAACCAAACGTTGCAGCGCTGAAAGTCTACAGCGGCACCTGAGACTTCAGCTAGGGGAGGCAGCCATCACCAGCCTTGGAGAGACGGCCATAGCTGGGGCCAGTCTCAGCGCATCTACCCTCTGGGGGTATCTGCGTCAGGCAGGGCCATACTGAGGCTCTTCGTGGGGTACATGTGGGTGTAGCTGCTATGGTAGCAGCTCGACAGCCATAGCTGCCTTCTTCTTCGTCAGAGTGACTCATCGGCACTGAGGACTACACTGTGGTTCATGATCTTCATCTTGGTGGATGGCGCTGGCCTCTGGGAGGCCATTTCAATGTAGCGCTGGACTCTGGGAGTGCGGTTGTGTGTGGAGTGTGGTTCTGAGGTAGCGAGACACTGGGTTAAACTCTGTAACCATAATTGGGGTTAATTGAGTTGAGTTGGCTCATCATTAGTGTTATTTTCCAATTGTGATCTTCGCGGTGTCATCTTGTGATTGGTTGTTGGGAGTTTGTCAGAGAGAGAGAAACGTTGTGTGTATTCTCCCCATCTGTGCATGGTTGCTATTCCGCTGCTTATATCTGGTCTGTGTACAGCTTGGACTCTGTCTCTCCTCCCCTTTGTCCTGTGCATGTATGGGCATGTGCGAGATACTTTGAGTGTGAGTGGCGAGAAAATTGTCAGACAACCAAGTTCATAACACACACAACCCGTGGTATTGCCGAGTCTGTTTGTCTCCTCTTTCTGCATTGAGTCTCTTCTATCTAGGTGATAGGAACTCTACGTATGAAGGATAGAGCCTTGTTGACCAAACCCACACGAGCTGAGTAGGGCTAAAGGCTGTGTCTGACGACTCGACTGTCCCGGAGGACACGAACCCTCCCAAGGACCGGTACTGACCGACGGGCTGCTCGGTGTGGCACGGTAGGCCCAA